CACACACTCAAACACTATGGACAACCTTGAGACATCATGTCTCCTAACTGCATGTGGGAGGAAACTGGATCAGCCCAAGCCACAGGGGGAGAAAATGCAAACCCCACCACACGGACCACTGTGCTTCACCTGCAGTGCCTTTTTTTGTAATGAATTCGTTTTCTCTGGTTTCTTCTCGTTACTCCAGCTTAACCCCCACAGTCCAAAAACATGCTGAGGTTAATTGGAGTTACCAAATTGCCCATAGGTGTGCATGTGTGAGTGACTGGTGTGTGAGTCTGCCCTGCGGTGGGTTGGCGCCCCATCCTGGTTTGTTCCCTGCCTTGTGCCCGTAGCCTCCGGAATAAGCTCCATACCCCCCCACAACCCTGAATAGGACAAGCAGTTACAGAGAATGGATGGATGGGTGGTCTTCTCTGATTTCTTCTTTATGTGGCTCCTTCATCACTCTAATAACTATAGTATTCCTTTCTCTGTTGACAGCTGAAGCAGACTGTGGTTTATTTCCATTATTCTATTCTCTCCTTACCCCCCCCCCCTTTATTGGGCCATCCTCAACGATCCTGAGGCTTATTTGCAAGTTGAATGCGTCCCCACCCCCACACAACGATCGCATGCTAGTGTCATTAGCACGCCGGATTTGAATATAAAGTTATTACATGTTTAACCTAATCATGGGCGTAAGTGGGAGAGCTCGCATTAATTGGAGCGCGGCGTCACATTTAAAGAGCGTGCTCGTGACTGTATGCCATGCTCAGATTTTTTATTTTTTTGAGAGCCACTCGAGTGCTCCGCGCACATATTTTCTGCTTCTCGAGATCATCCTGGCTTTGCTTCCGTTCCGGCGCACTTTCGTTTCAAACCGCCCCCTTTCCCCAATATGGGTTCCGCCGCAGAGAACAGTGCAGTGCATCTGCAGCCAGCAGCCTCTCCCATGACCTCCTGGACAACGTAAGATTTATGCCCACTCCTGACAGGATCGAGTGTGCCCTGCAGGGTGTGTGGACCTTCACCCCAGGACCCTTCAGAGCTGTCCAGGCACTGCCTGATGGATGAAGTGCCTCTCAGCCTCCTCTCTCTGTCTCGCTTATTACTGGACAGTCTGCTCCTCTTGCAGACAGAATAAAAAATGCGGCCAGGAACAAGGAGTTGTCCGCGCCCGGCTCCTTCCTTTGAGACGCTTCTTAGGGGCTGCTCTGCCTTGGCATGATGAAGGAGGACTTCCTCACAGTCCCAGAAACACGCCAAATGGGGAGCTTGGATGCGGAAAAGTGCCTTTTAATCCTCCTGCGGCAGGGTTTAGGTGTAATGCTTCAAACATGCTGTCAGCAGTACAAAAACAAAGCGTGTCCAACGGTCCCATCACTTCAGTCCAGTAGCCATCCTAAGTACTTAACACTGCTACCATGACGGGAAGAAACCTGCAAGCTCATAAATGTACGTAAAATCCACTGAATATTTCAGCTTGCAAACATCCAGGATTGACAGGGATCCAGTAAGCAAACAGTCCACGATAACCAGCATGATGAAGATTGGGTACCAGTACATAGCTGAGTTAGGCTTTTTTTTCACTGATGAATACAGTGTTTGTTGTACACTTGATTTTATTTACTCAAGAGGCACAAATGTGGCACTGCTAAAAAGCTTGATACATCCAGCCTTCTTTTGCCTGATTCTTGTCAGCTCTGAAGCTCTACAGCATGTCAAGGTCTCTACTGGCACACCAGCTTAAGGATAAATGGAGCAGGAAGAAAGTGCAGGTTTAGTCCAGATTTCAGCACAGATGCACCATGGCGTGTGTTGCACGGTTGCATCATGCCTCCTCCTTGCATGTGTGGTTTTTGCTGAAGTTTATCTCTCAGTTGCCAAACTCCCCTGTGATGTCATCCTCCATCAAGAAAAATAAAATTAAAACTGCAACTAAATGAAAATCATACATATTGTTTTCAAGACTAATGGAAATAAAATAAAGACAAGCATCAAATACACAATTTTTTGTTGGTTTTAATACTATTTAATATGAGTTGTTTATCTTTACCATTTTTAACACCTGAAACATGTTTTGCTCGTTTTGGGGTCATTGGTACATAATGCGCACTGTGTTCTCCTTTTGGCCCATAAAATAGCTCTACAACTTTCAGTCTGTCCCTAGAGATTAAATTAAATATAAATTGAAGCTAAAATATATTTCGAAAATTAAATAGAAATATATCTTCATATACTAGATGTGTAAAATATACCAGATGCCTTTGTCCTGCCCCCTTTAATTGCTTGGACCCACCTCCTCCACAGTCTGATTGGTTATCTCTCTGAACCAGTCATTTTTCCTTCTGCCCTCAGAACATTTTTGTGTAAGTGTAAATCCCACGAGCAACTGGATATCAAATGAAAATTGAAAATAATATAAAAATACAAAAAATAGGAACTACAACAGTGCAGTGGCAGACAGAACATGTGTTTCCTATCTGGGTAAAATGTCTGAGAGCATTTTCCTGTCTGGGTAAAATGTTTGAGAGCACACTGAGGGCTGATGGGCCAGCGGCAGGACAGCAGGAACACCGGTGACACGGTCTTGCATGAGGTGGAGCAGGATGCAGCTCACTGTTCCTTTCACTTGCTATATATCGCTGGCTTCACTAGTGATAGCAGTACTGTCAATCCCGACCTGAAGCTGGGGCATTGGTTTAAAATAAAAATAACACAGGTCTGCTCGGGGGCTGCCTTTCATATTCCCTCCTGTCAGTAGCGGGAGGAGGATGGCGGTGCAGTGAAGTCAGTTTGTGCTTATCCACGTTATGCGTGAGGAGGCAGGCCTGCTCTCTTGCTAGTCGTTTTGCCCCGGTGCACAAATGAGTCAGGCAGGGCAATCTGTGCTGCCCCGGCATTTCGACTTACTGTCTGTGCTTTCCTGCCTGGGGTTCACTCCTCCGCCCCGTACAGAAATAATTTACAAAGCTCAGGTTTTCTTCTCATCGCTCTCATCTCAATGGCGTTCAGCCACAGGGCTGACAGTCAGGCATTGCAGTGCCTGGTGTTTAACTTTTAACTCTCTTATAAAGATGTAGGTGTTCTCAGTAGAGGTGCACTCTCTGGTTTCTGCATTGATCCCAGCAATTATTATAATATTAATAGTTTCTGAGAAGCCTGGAATCAGTAAACTTGAGTAAATCACAGAGGTATTGCATGTACCCCTGTTCCAAAGCATACTAAAGCAGTTGGAAAGTCTGTGGAACTAGCGCGAACACTAACCGAAGCCAGGGTTTACTAACCCTAAACCTAGTCTAACCCAAGCTGTAACCCTAACCCTATGTTTTTTTATGGCTGAAATATGCCTACTCTAGTTTATTAAAGTTAGAAAACTATTTAAGTAAACCTCAAATAATATGGCGATATACAATTTTCTGCATGCTAACCCTATCTTGAACCATGACCCTAACCCTACAGCAAATGGCAACCCTGACTCTGGGCAGATGGAGGCAGACAGGATTGCCCGAGCATCTTGTTTTCCACAGGGCACTTGGAGGAGAAACTTGTGGAATAGTTACTGTTTAACCTAACCCAGTCAGGAGCTTTACCTTTGGGATTATTAAAGTTACCTACCTACCTACCTACCTATCTGTCTGTCTGTCTGTCTGTCTGTCTGTCTAACCGTTAATGTAACCCTAACCCTTTCCACTTGTAAGTTCTGGTGGACATAGAGGGATTGTATACGCTAATAAATATCAGGATTTACAGAATATGTTTTTTTTCTTTCTAATCCTTGCCTTAAACCTAACCATAATTCTAACTATAACCGTACTCCTATCCCAAATTGGAACACTCCTTTTATCCCTAATTTTAACTATTACCCTAACTATAAACCTAATTTAACCCTAACACTAACCCTGAGAATAAGCCTAACCATTATCGTGACTATGACCCATGCACTCTCCCCTCTTATTAAAATGCCCGTTTTTCCTGGCTGATGAGCTCAGGCAGGGTGGCGTCTTGTGTTGACTGGCATCAGCTATCGGCAGTCTTTGCCAGTGAAGCCGCGATTTGAATCGTCCCATTCACTGTGCCATTCATGCGGCCTCTTGCTGCCAGTATTGTGGACACGCTTTCCAGCAAGAAAGTGTGCCGTGAAAAATCAAGGCTGAGACTTTCAAAACCAGTCTACAGATTCCACTTTTTAAAATAAATTACAATAAATCAGCTAACTGACTAAAAAACAGCCTAGGTATATTAAAATGTCATTCATGGTCTTCTGTTATCCAGGCATAAATTAGCTAATGGCTGTTAGGGTTTTGCTCGGAGCCTTTTCTTATTTTCTTTCAGCGTTTAGTGACCCTCAATAATTGACGGTAATTTTTGAGTTACTGACATTTATTATGTTTATATTTCTGTAGTGCTTTTGGAGGGAGTATCTTGGAATTGCATGCTGCAAGTCTCTTATGAACGGTTGTTGGTGGGGGGGGGGGGGGTAAGCTAGTCTTCATACTCCTCGCTGGCATCAGTAGAGCACCCGGGTGCACGTGTTTGGGGTCTGCTTCAGCCGAGGCGTACTCATACTTTTGAAGACCAGGGGTTTGGTTCCACTCCCCTTACACCTTTTTGCTCTCGTGGAGAAGCCCAAGCAGAAGGCATCGTAGTTGTGAAGCATTTGCTGCTGGTATAAGTGGGCCTACAGTAAGGCTTCATGATGGATTTGCCATGGGGTTGAGGTGCACGCTATGCATGTGGCAGCTAGATACGTCCTGCAGTTGATGCATCATTTTCATTCCTGTTGCATTCATTGTCCGCTGTGTTGGTGCTCCTCACACGCGTGTGTGACTGTAGAGCTAGTGATGGAGAAGCTGTTTAACAACCGAATTAACAAGTAATCATCGAATGATTCAGGCCTTATCATTTTAACGGCCTCCACGATCCACTCTATTATCAGAATTGTCAGTGAATACGACACTCAGCGTAAAATCCGCGCATTCATGTCGCATGTGGGTAACGCGTGTGCTGTGCTGCAGGCGATGGTGGAGACGGTGAACAACTTGCTGCAGGCACACGCCGAGGCGGCATGGAAACGGCTGTCACCCGGGGAGCAGCAGCGCGCCGCCACCATGCTGCTGGACACTGTGGAGCAGGGAGCCTTCGTGCTGGCTGACAACCTGCTGAAGACTGACGTGGTGCAGGAGAACACCGAGAATATCCGTGAGTGCCGCAGGGCCTGGGGACGCTCCGCTGGGTTATCTCTCTCTCTCTCTCTCTCTCTCACACACACACACACACTCACAGGTTTGTAATTGCAGCTTTGTGAGGACTCTCCATTCATTTCTATGGGGAAAGCTAATTCCAACATGATGACCCTAACCCCTACCCAGCCCTAACCTTACCCATAAGAAACCAAACAAAATACAAGACATGTGGCATTTTTAGTTTTTTGATTGCATTCACCGATCTTTGTGGGGATCTGAAAAATGGTCCCCACAACTTCAAAATAACAGGTTTTTATTACATTGTGGGGGACATTTGGTCCCTACAATGTAATATAAGCATAATATCACACACACATAGAGGTAAACATTCACACACACTTACACACTCGAATACTGTCCTACTTTTTTTCTCACACACACACACTCGAATATAGTTGTCTAAAATCATCAAAACTCAAGAATGATAACAACTGAAAAGTTTTAATGTTGCTGTTTTTCCAAATTTTTCTTCTAAATAGATGAGATCATTAAAAAGGGCTTCTGCTTCTCGAAGACTCATAAATTACAGTGCTTCTCACATTTATTTATTTATTTTTGTTTTGGTTCATAATTTTTTATACATTTTTTTCAAGCAGATCAAGTTAGCAAGTGGAAGTTTCTCTGGAGGAGGCCCTCGCACCGCCTGTTATTAAATGCCGTTATTCCGTGGGGTCATTTCCCGGCAGGCAACACACACAAACGTGCGTGTGTGCAGATTCACAGACATGCACACGTTAAGCCGCAGTGTTCTTATGTAGAAACGGTAGCTCTCTTACAGCGTGCCTGACTACTCTAAACTGATCCAGTTCACGCGCTCACAGGGTCCATCTGAACTCTCCATACCTGTAACACGGAACATCACTGTATGCTGTCTTCATTCATTTAATACTATTATTTAGAATATTACATGGCATAACAATAATTGCAGATGTTGCAAGTAAGGGATGAGATTAGATGGCGATGCTGAAGTCTCATTTAATTAAATGTAGTTCCCTGCTCTTCTAATGACCGCTGAAATGTTCATTAACCATCTTATAATGATTGCTTTGGGCACTTAGGAAAATCAATTTGGACAAACTGCATTTTTGTCACCCTTATTATCAGGGTTTAGTAATAGCTGATCCTGAGACAGAGCTTGGATTGCCCACACTGGGACTAGAACAGGTTTGAACTGGCAGACGTGCGTGTCCCTTTTCTTGCATCATTTCCGCTGCATTAGCACCCCCGTGTAAGCATGGATTTAGGCTTAGTTTGTGGGATCGTGCTGCATGCTGCGGTATCGAAACACCTCCCCTCCAGCAGTATCTGCATTAACCTGCTTCCCATTTTAAGTCCATATCTCGGTATTGTCCACATGGATCCCAGGGGGTCCGCCCATTCGAGGGCCGGCCTGGGGATCATACTGGACCTTGCACAGCAGGCTGGCTGCCGTAAATCTAGGCTTGGGCATTATCGATTGGCTGCACACAGGCACAGCGTGGACGGCGTCGGAGCCACGGTGGGCTTTATCGGAGCGGTTCAGGCGGCGAGCTGCGCTGGTCCCCTGTCTATCTACAGGGCTATAAGCCTCCCTCATGCCAACACCCAGGTCATTACACCCTGTCACCCCGCAGGCTAGAGCGCTGACAGCGAGTGAATTTAAATTGCAACATGGCATGGCAATGTACCTTTCCCATAATGCAATGCTGCCATTTGTTTCAAACACCAGAAATGGCTGAAGCACAATGACGGATACCAGGCATGTTTGTAAGATTAGCTGGAGTTGTTGTGGTGCAGTAGTGAGGAACGTAGATAGATAGATAGATGGATAGATGGATAGATAGATGTATAGATAGATAGATGATTGATTGATTGATTGATTGATTCCCCTTTCTCAATTAGATAAATAGATGAGACTCCCCCAATTTGCCATTTTCTGTGCCCCCTCATTGTAGATGCATATTACTGCACGTGGGGGGTTTTACTAATTTCATTAATATTTCCTTACTATAAGTGTATCATACAGTGGATTTGGATAAGAGTTGGCTGCCGCTAGTCTGGCCAGCTCCACACGTGACATGGCTGACTGTAAATGATGAAGTTAAGTGTGATATTGGGAGAAGCACGTTCCACTCAGAAGCCAGTGGTTGCGACGCGTTGCCCAGAGACCTTATGAGCGCCTGTAGGAATGCGAGCGCTATGAGGCGTTTCCCCCTGTCGGAGGAAGAGGTTTCTTCTTCTTCTAACTTAGGCTGCCATGGCAACTTTAATGTAGGTCCTGCAAGAACTATGCACCCTGGCGTGGGGAATTTATAAAATGGAATTTATTGTATCTGGCACTGAATTTACCCTGGCATTAGGGACTTAAGGCAGCTCCATGTACGTCTAGATAGAAAAATAGCGCTTGGTGGAAAATCGCCCAGTAGACTTCCCTTTTTTTTCCGTCTTGCCTTGACGGTGAGCTTCACAGAGCCTCTTCCAGGTTAATCACTCAGCCCTGGTGTATCCACCGCCACGTTCACTTTGTTTTCTCCATCTGCTTTGAGGCACCACAGGCTGAGTTTATCATGTTGGCCCCCAGTGGCACGCAGCCCTTTTCAGCTGTGACTTCCTGAAATAGCAGCCCCTTTCCCATCTCTGTCGGGCCTTGAAGAGGCAGGCCTGGCTTTCTGTGGTCCAAACCCAAAAAATGAGAATTTTTGCCTCCTTCCCTGGAAACATGTCAGTATATTGCCAGGCTTTCAAACATTCAAACATCCTCTTGGTATGAAGGACTCCATTATTGTGGGAAACTCGCCAATGGAGGATGATTGCATGGATGAAATGAAGCTACAGTGTGTTGATGTGTGTAGAAAATGGGGTCCTGAGATGCGCTTGTTGCCTCACAAACACGTTCTGCTCGTTTTATCCCTATATTTGTGCCTCAAATTCTTGCCCCGCAGTTCGCCTTGTGAACAGATTTATTCCAAGTACCTTGTTATTTGAACCGGCCCATAATCTTCCTGCGGGCAATGCAGCATCGTGTTCACGTCCGCGACACATAAAGCCCATCTTAAGCTTTTCAGTGGCTCCGGCGAGGGGATAAAGGACACATCCGTGACTCAGATGCCTCGGGATCGAGGATACGGATTGTTGATCACCCTAGAAGATTCCTGTGGAACTGCTTTATTTTCTTGTTTGTTCGGCAAACTTACAAGGCTGAAAATACACTCAGTATAAAAAGGCCGATAAATGCAGCCTGTACTAAGGCTTAGATACAGTTGTGCTCCAATAAGCAAGAATCACTTCTTTTGTGTCTGTCATGGGTTTGAGCGAACAACACAAGCACCTGACACTCTCCTAGTTTGTTTGACCTTGTCGCACAACTGCTTACCTGAAAGGACATGTGCGAATCCCGCTACTCCTTGATGCTGCGGACGGGGGAACTGAAACTGGCCTAATTGGTAGGCCGAGAACAGCTGTAGGGCCACACTGCTGTCCCTGATTACCAGAGAGCGGCTCGTGGCCCCTGAGCGTGGGCCTGCACTAATATACTGTAATGGTGTTATCATCTGCGCCCAAGCCTTTAATGGCCTCAGTTCTTTCGAAACTTCATCCTCAGATGCTTTAGTTCAGCCCTTAAATATCAATCCGGGTCCCGCCGTCCAGGGCAGCAGAAGCCGGGACTTGGAGCTCGGGCTTGGAACCCCAGAGTCTGTCGGCCATGTGCGTATGGCTGGCATCCTCAGCGCCTCAGGCCTCCGTTTGCCTTTAGAGGCCGTCTCGTTTACGGGAAACGGTTCGCGCCATATATGTGATGGGCGTGGTTTCTAACTGCAGCGCCGCTTTTGGATCGACAAGTGCAGCAGAATGCAGGTTCAGAGAGCCGGGTCTCCTGGTATTTACTTAATTTACTGCATTCGGTGCCTGTAACTCCATTTTTATTGAAGAATCTGCTTATTGAATTATGTGGGCTTTTAGTAAATCATCCTGGGGGGGGGGGGATTCGGGAAATAAAAATGGACGAGAGAGAAGAGTGTGATCCAGGGCAGGCACACTAGTTTAATTGATTTCAGGTTTCTCCAAATTGTTGGCCATTTGAAGTTTTTATTGGACTACTAAATGACCCTAGCAGAGTCTGCATGGTTAGATTTCCGAATGACACTGCCTACGGTCCCAGAGCCGTTTGCCTTGGGCCTCCATGAAGTCTTTATTTCCAAATGAGGATCCCACACGTCGTTATGGAAATGTGTGATGTATGGAAATGCCCACCCCTGACAAAGAATCTGAAGCTATGTGTGCTTTGACGTCCTCAGAGCTGGAGGTGGCCAGGCTGAGCACAGACGGGAACCTGCAGGACCTCAAGTTCCCCCAAGTCGGAGGGCACGGGAACTCCATCCAGCTGTCGGGGAACACGCTGAAACAGCATGGGAGAAACGGTAGCCTGTCTGCTTCGGGTGTCTTTTGGGGGTGTTCAGTCGTAGCTCTCAGCCAGAAACACACCTGGTGGACTTTGTAAAGTTAGTTTAGACCACATAGACAGAAAAGTGAAGATCAGAGCGCCGTTGAGGTTAAAGGACCATTGTAACACTGCCTGATATAGGATTCACACCCACAACCTTCTGGACATGGACACAGAGCCTCACCCCTCTGAGCCACATAGCACTGCGTATATTGTGTGTTATATGAAACGATGATGAGCAGTCTGCTGTAGAGGACAGGAAGTGGAGTATGTAGATTGCTGGGTGTTTTTTATACCGAATATGTAAATTATTTTTGTGACCTGCGTTTTCCAGACTGTATATGCATTATGTGGTGGCAGCCTGGCTCATTGGGTGAATATGACCTCACATTTCCAGGGTTGTGGGTTTAATTCTGACTGGCATCATTGACAGAGAAGATGGCTGAGAGGTTTACAGTATACACATTATCCATCTATCCATCTATTTTCCAGGTACAGGTTCACAGGAAGGAAAGCTTAGAGCTGATCCCATTCAGCACAGAGCACGAAGCAGGGGTGCACCCTGCATGCAATGCCAGTCTATTACAGTGTGCATATCCATGTCTATACATTAATCTAGATGTCTATAAAAGGCCAGGCCACACATTTTGTGCATTGTTCTTCTCCTTACGCGGTCTAAACATGGCATGTCCCACCTCCAGGAGAGATCAGGATGGCCTTTGTCCTGTACAAACACCTCGGTGCCTACTTGTCTACGGAGAATGCAAGCATGAAGCTGGGCAGTGAGGCCATGGCCACCAACTACACTGTCATCGTCAATTCCCCGGTCATCACGGCTACCATCAGCAAGGAGAGCAATAAGGTGTACCTGTCGGAGCCCGTCGTCTTCACCATCCGGCACCTGCAGGTAGGTGCACGACCCACTGAAATCCGTTTACATTGTTAGGTATGAACCACTTAGATTTGTTTATGTTGTTGTGTATGACCCAATGAGATCCGTTTATTCTGTTAAGTATGACCGAATTAGATCCTTTATGTTGTTAGGTATGACCCACTGAGATCCATACAAGCTGTTGGTTGCAGAAGGTTCCAAAGGGATGTATTTCAAATTTGTTCAACTGGACTGCCCTTGTAACCTCTCAGAGATGTCACATGACCAGAAGAAATGGTTTGTGTAATATGAATGACAGTGAGACAGTGAAACATGTCGGAGTGTTCCTCGGATGGGAGTGAATCACTTCTGTCTACTAATAATTGATCATTAATTTCTACATTTAGTATATGCCACAGCAGATCATCTTCTGACTTTTCAGGACACTAGTTTAGTTCCCTAAGCACTATGCTGCTAATTTCTGCTATTCTGCTACCCGTATTGTCTTGGGAGTTGAGACGAGGTCCCAGTTCCTTGGGATTTAAGAAATTTTTTTTCTCCCAAAGTGAATGAATTAACCAATAAGTCTTAATCGTCCCACTAATTCAGTGGAGCACAATTCCGGTACTCAGAGCCCACAATCTTAGTAATCGGTGGTGCGACTGACGTCTTTATCTGGGCACTAAATCTTGTCAAGTTGGTCTAGCAGGAATTAGAAGTCAGTCACCTATGAAAAGGTAACTTTTAAATTCTGCAGGGCTAGGAATTCTCTCTCTTTTTCTGTCTTCCCTCACGTTTTATATGCACCCCCCCTCCTTCCTGAGCCCTGAAATGACCCAGTGCGCAGCATTAAGACCTTGGCACCAAGCCAGCTAAAATAACAGCGTGGTTAAGGTGGAGTGGCCATCATCACAGAATACCTCCACGTCGGCAGAAATGAAGCCGCTGGAACAGTCACTCTGGGATAATGACAAGGCAGAGGGCCAAAATAACCCTAAAATATGATCATGGGGCAATCGAATTCAAATTACCACAGTAGGGAATCTAAAAAGAATTATTTCATTTTCTGGAGGTTCATTACCACGTCAGAATTTACTAGGTGGGATGTCAGCAATGTGTGGTGTGTTGGTAACCATGGATACAAAAACAATTATAACAAAACAAAAAAAGATTGTAGCAGAGTTATTGTTATCTAATGAAATATTGATTGGACCCGGTCGCCATTTAGTCACCAGATCCACTCTCTTTACAGCAGTCAGAGGAGAACTTCAACCCGAACTGCTCCTTCTGGAGCTACTCGAAGCGCACCATGATGGGGTTTTGGTCGACGCAGGACTGCCGACTGCTGGGCACGAACCGGACTCACACCACGTGCTCCTGCACCCATCTCACCAACTTCGCTGTGCTGATGGCCCACGTGGACGTCAAGGTGGGCTCTCCTCCCCTGCCGCTGGCCTCGCTAATCTCTGCGCGGGCAGAGTACACCTGCTCCGGGCCCATGACTGCTCCCGTGTCACACTGTGGCATTATGCGTGGTCGCCCGTTTGTTTTGCGCTATGTAACACGTCAAACGCTAATCAAAGGCACACATATGCACAGATATGCTGGTGTTACGGAGGCCAGAGGAAGCCTAATGAATTTCACAAACCTATAGCCATCACCAGGTTACTCTGGCTTTCATTCAGAACAAGCAATAGGAATCAGACGGATAAGATGGATCAGAATTCCACAGCCAAAGATCATATAGCATCTGTTGTTTCAGTATTTCCAGCTTTGACTCACATTGATACTGTCGTGTCAGTAGTTTGTCAACAGTGGGCAAAGCAGTATATTCAAAATATTTGTTATAAGCTTTACTGATTGTAATATTCAGAGGAAATCATTTAAATTCGACTTCATAAATTCGTCATCATAATCATTTTATTTGTTGTTGTCTTCTCATTCTTTTAGTTTGTTCTGGCTTCTCATTAGGATTCAGATTCAGACTCTGAGTGGAAAAATATCCAGATTTTTTTCTCCATTCAAGGTCAAACACTGCTTAGTTATTTTAACTTTATTTTATGAGCAATTTAAAAGTCACATTCCCAGTGTGTTAAGAAAAAGGTTCCATAAACAATACCGCACGCTGTTAGCGGATGATGCCGTTAAACAGTACAATTTACATATTTTATTTTGCATGTAAGTACTTCCATTTATCTTTTTTCCCTCTACCTCGGAGGCATCTGCGCGTTCCTCGCTGCCAATCTGTTTACTGCCAGCAGTTCCAGGGGAAAGCATGTGACGGCGGTCCAAGAAAGGGGGGCCTTGTCACGTAGCAGAGTGTGTCACGTTGGAGAACCCCCCCCCCAAACGCCCCCCCCCCAGGCCCCCTGACAGTCGGTTAGGTTACCCTGTCATAGGAAACGCGGGCCACTGGTCACGCTGGCCCCAGTATCTACGTGGCCAGTCCCAATCAGGCTCAGTCCGAATGTGTCAGCCCGCTCCCCAAAGGGCCCCCGGTTTTTGGCCGTCATTTATGGCCGACCGGACACCAGCCTGGGCAAACGAGAGACGCAGGACTCGCCGGGCTGCTGGGAAATAGAAACGCGGGTGAGAAGGCAGCTCTCAGCGCCACCCGCCAGCCGCAGAGAAACCACACAGCCGTTGTTTTCCTACCAGACAAAAACTTCCAAGTCCTATTGCGCATGTGTAAGTCAACATTACATCACACGTTTGCAGTGTCTTAATATTTTTGCTACCCTTACATGTTGATGTGGTTTATTCATATTTTGTTGGTATTTGTGTTTATTACAAATGATCATGGTGATTGTTAATATATTGTTTGTGTTCTTCCTCCCAATATGGGACCAGATTTTACTATTAAACTCAACGATACACATGTATTTGCTTTACTTGTTGAGACTACTTTAAGTTGTGGTTTTTGTTTTAATTAAAGTAAAAATATTTAATTTACTGTTAGCAAAAGCCACTGGAAAATTCTGCTATGGTAGCAAATTCTGGCAAAGCAGCAAAAAATATCAGAACACCGGCTCTTCGTCACCCCCTTTTCCTTCCCCTGGCATACCTGGCACTCGTCTCCTCCAGCTTTCAGGGACGCACACGGGCACCGGATGCGGCAGCAGCGATGTCATTCGCCAGACTCGCTGGGAGTCGCCCTTTATTCCCATACATCCTCCTGCCATACAGCCTTGGTTTAATGTCAGCAGTTGTGGGGGAAAAAAATGCCTTTGCCAGCCTTCGACTGAGCTGTAATAGTTTTCCAAATGATCATTTTAATTAACTACTGGCCCTCAAGTAAGCACAGTTTAGTGCCCTGGAGTAAGGGATTTAGCCTGAGTTAGCCCAGGAAGACGCTCATCTGCCCACCAGGTGAGATTATAAGTCACTTTGGATGAAACCCTTGCCTTCCTGCATCTCACAGTAGGACATATAAATATATAAATGCTTTAGCCTGCAGCATTCCTACTTGTTCTGCCTCTGATAGCACATCTACTGCAGTGTGCTGCTCTTCTGGTTTGATACGGGTCAGCGCCTTCTCCTTGGAGTAGGGCCGCAGCTAGGTCAAGTAAATGTAGGCGGTCCGGCCTGCTCCTGTGACTTCCCTAGTAAACCGGCGGGTGCCGGAGCTGCAGCCCATTACAGCTGTTTGCTTCCCATGTCGGATTAACATGAGTTCCGTGTCCGGGCTCAGGAATCAGAGCACGGCACGTCCTCCTCCTCGCTGAGCAGCGGGGGCAGTATCGAGCGGGCTGGGAATGGCCCTGATCAATGTGCTTCTCAGAATGGCGGGGGGCACTTCACTGTCCGATATGTCAGCGTCGCACGGAGAAAGAAGCATCGCCTGACATCGACATAATTCCTCATACAGTCATGTCCTAGCATAAGATGACACCCCATTCACATATTCATTAATTACATATGCCTAAAATTCAGCCACCCGATCGTATTCCATAACTGCAGTGTAGAGTCACTGTGAGGTTGTTGCCCATCCATGGCAGCATAGGGATCAGGGCGTGGGACACCCTGGATGAGATACAAGCTTGGGAATAGAACCCACAACCTTGAGGTGTGAGGATACAGATCCAGCCTGCTGCTGCTCACCACTAATATTTTCAGCCCTTATATTCACTTTTACGTGTTTTACATGCTGTAACGTGAGCTCTGACATTAGTCATCCATGCCTGGGGTGGCGCTGTCCTCCTTTACTTGCGCTTTCAGTATTAGCCTCCTGCTGAAGGATGTTCTTTATGGCACCTTGATGAGGCAGCTGTGCCGAAAGGAGTTGCTGCTTATCGCGCTGCCACTTTAAGAATAACACCCAGACCCGTGACACTCGTGACAGTTGCAGCGCCCATGAATTCCTGCCTCCCATGACGAGCCGGCTGTTAATTCTCGTACATTGACCTTCCGTGCGCAACGGCCCCTGGAACCGCATTCATTGGTCACTATCACGGAAACAGCCCCCCTTACACCACGACATGTCCGAACCCCTTACTCAGCTGTCAGGTTAGAAACATAGCACACACATCACTGTCTATGGACCACGCGTGCCATAATCCAGTGTTTCCCAATCCAGTCCTTCGGGATCCTCCAGACAGTCCATGTTTTTGCTCCCTCCCAGCTCCCTGTCAGACAGTCCTCCCAATAGGGAGCTGGGAGGGAGCAAAAACATGGACTGTCTGGAGGTCCCTGAGAATCGGGTTGAGAAACATTGACAAAGTCCACCCACGATAGGTCGCCGTTGTCCCCTCAGGCTGTGTTCAGACGGTTTCGTCTGCTGTCCTCCAGGAACCATCTGCCCGACCAATCGAATGACTGCAGGTTGCTGAGCGAGATTAGATTCTGCATGACGATGTGTGGATAGAGGCCATCCATTCATAATGAATTATATGTGCGTTAAGAGAAAAATTGGGCTGGGGGAAGAAGGCAAGCGCTGATGGAGAGTGATGGGGAATGGGCTCTGCCTTTATTATCTGCCCGCGAGGCTCAGGACAGGGCCTAACACACCGAGAGGGAATCGGGAACTGAACTAGGCCTGCAGCTCTGGGGGGAGTATGGGGGGGGGGAGGCTGCAGTAAGACACGCTGCCCTTTGGTGCTGTGCCAGGATCCCCCCCCAGGCAGGCAAGACTTCAGAGGGGGGGGGGGCTGCTTAGAGGAAAATCCCTGAAGGGATGGAGGTTTATGGGGGTNGGAAAATCCCTGAAGGGATGGAGGTTTATGGGGGGGGGGGGCACAGAGGTGATATGGCAGGCCAGGCCAGGGAAACGTGCCATGGGTACACATCCCACCCCACTGTGAGCCCTGACACCAGAGCCGTTAGAAGTGGGACTTGGAGTGGGGGGGGGCAGAAAGCAGCTTAGGTAAACAGGAAGCCTCGCAATGCCAGTAACGAGCAGCCTCGGTTTACATATTTGGGGGTGTCTTTGTGTGCCTAGTGACCAACAAGCCCCCTCTGCGTAGATCAGGGTGCGAGATATTCAGGACACTGCATTGTCTCCTCCAGTGTGACTTAGAGCAGTGTGTCCCAACCCAGTCCTCAGACACCCCCAGGCAGAAACATGGATTGTCTGGGGGCCCCTGAGAACCGGACTAGGACACACTGCCTGAGATGGTGTCTGATATTGGAAAGTTGTGCCAGACCCCAGATCAAAATTCAGATGGATGGAAAAAACAACCACGCAGTGTGTGCCATGTGGCCCCATTAATGGATCAGCATGGGATGGTTAGGTGCAGCTTGTTTGGGAATCCGCTTCTGTTTATCAGCGATGTGTGGATTGTCTGAAGCTGAGGAGGATCAACTGTTGGATTCTGTACGCAGTCCAGCCGGTCAGACCACACTCTGTCTCTGGCTGAATGACCCAAATGACCCTAACTCTAAAAGTACATAATGCGAAATCCATTCATCAATTCTTCCATCATCCATAACTGCTTATCTAGACAGGTTTGGGGGGGGGGGGGGGAGCCTTTCCCCGGAAGCACAGAGCACAAGGCAGGGAACATCTCGGATGAGATGTCAGTCTATACACACAAACACACGCGTGTTAAGATAAGAGAAGATAAGACATTATTGATCCCAGGGGGAAATGTGTGTGCATACAGCATCGGGGTGTGTAAAGCCAACACAAGTAAACAAAATGCAAACAAATTAGTAAAGTACACAGTACAAACAGAATATCCTGAAAACAATATTGAGGAAATTAATATGAATAAATACATTAATGAATGTAGTATGTGCAGATAAAAAGTGTATATAACACTGTGGTTATATTTCTGACACGTTCTGTTGTGTTTGTGCACACCATATGTCCCCCTGATCAGCTGGGACAGCCATTTGTCTGCAGGCAGGTGCTTTGTTTTTGATGGGAGCTTCCTAGCAGAAATCTCCTGGGAAATCACGTCCATTGGAGGATGCCCCAGGCGTGTGGGCTCGGTAAGGGAGCGGGCACAGCGCCGCCCAGGGTGTGCCATGTACGTGCTGACAGTGCGTGGCATCTCGCATGTCGGGTAGTTACCGGTCGCGTGCAGCTCGTCTGAGGTCCGTTTGCGGCATTCGGCCGGCCGCGAACATCAGCCTAATCATTAGGGATTGAACAATGGGATTGTTTTGTTTCCTGAAGATCCTTCCCTGTATTGCAATCCCAGTGAAAACTATGCATCTTCAATATATATGGCCACTACCATAGTCACAGAACACAGTGGACAAAAAAAGAAAAGGAGAAGAAAAAAAACCGCCATAACATTGGCCTGACTCTGAGGATTCATGTAAGTGCTGTTTTTCATTCTGCATACATCTCCAAACATCCCTTATAGGGAGATTTGGCTTGGCCCAGTTGCGGGGCCCCTTTACAGCAGAGCTGTGTCTCTCAGGCCACAATTCCCTGCGGCGCGTAATAAAACGTTATCAAAATAAAACAAAAAGCAAGATGCCGATGGTCCCTCAGCGCTGTTGTGGGCACACAGAAGGACGCTTCAGTCTCCTCTGTAAGGGACCGTGGCTCATTGCCTCCCCGCGCCGTTAGGCGTCCATAATAAGGGCCCGAGAGCCTCCGTGCATGCTGCTCCCGCTGTGAACTTTGTGAGCACGCCGCGGGTTTTAATTATTTTTATTTGTCAGCTTCAATGGAGCCCGGTGTTCTGTTCATTAGGGTCCGCAGTAAATCCACTTTAACTGGACCGCCAGAGAGGGCTCCTCGCGGCCGCTGGCCTCTGTGATCAAGGTGATATCCATCACCCGCCTGGCCCCTGCGGTGGCTGGAGTGAGCCGTCGGTGATTCATTCCCATCTTAAGGTCCAACCTAGAAACCAATGCTGATGGACTGGACTAGAGGCGTGTAGATGCCTGAGTATGTGTGTGTTTTGTTTTGTTTTTGTGATCTGAGATGTTCCACTTCATGACTACGACGTGGATGGACTGGGGGGATGTAGATGCCGGAGTATGTGTGTGTTTTGTTGGGATGCTCCTCTGTTCCTGAGACCGGGGGCATGTCAGGACATGCGCATTCCATTTCCCATAATGCCCTGACCCCGGTGCCCAATGTCTCCACAGACTGCTGACCCCATCCACGACCTGCTGCTGGACGTCATCACCTGGGTGGGCATTCTGCTGTCCCTGGTCTGCCTGCTGCTCTGCATCTTCACCTTCTGCTTCTTCCGCGGCCTACAAAGTGACCGCAACACCATCCACAAGAACCTGTGCCTCAGCCTTTTCGTCGCCGAATCCCTCTTCCTGGTGGGGATAAACCGTGCAGACCAGCCGGTGAGGCCCCGCCCTCCCACTTAGTTGTCCCGCCCAGTTTTGGTGGTTTTACATTTACATTAATTTATTTTGCACACACTTTTGTCCAAAGTCGAGGCAGATAGTACTTCACAAGCATGCAGTTGTCAAGGACCCAGCTAGGTATAAGTACAACTAGGCTGAGCTTCCAATGAATGACCAGTTACAAGTGTAAGTAGCCATTCAACCCCTTTCAAACAGCAAGAGGTAAAGAAGGCTGCTGTTCAAATCCAAAGACAAAGTACAGCACTAAGAGCATTCAGGGAGCACTAAGGGATCATCGAGCAAAGCTAGTCGATGGGTTTTGAAGAACCATCACATTTGTACTGTACACAGTACCAGTCAAGAGTTTGGACATGCCAAGTGACCTTTGTCCCAAGAGTGAAGGAAAAGCAGCCAATGAGTGCTCAGCATATATGTGGAAACTTCTTCAGGACAGCTGGCAAAGCATCCCAGGAGGCTACCTCATGGAACTGGCATAAAGGAGAAAGGGTCAGATGCAGCCATTGGAGTTAGGGGCCTCGCTCAAGGGCCCATTGGTGGGATCACTCTGCCGACCCTGGGATTTGATCTGGCAGCCTTCTGAGTCCCAACCCGCAGATATTTTTTGTTTAATACTTTGTTAGTCAGTAAATAATCCATATGAGTTTTTTTATACTTTTGATGTTTTTATAAATATTCTAAAATGTAGAGAATAGTACAAATAAACCTTTGTATGGGTAGGCACATCCAGACTTTTGGCTGATACTGTATGTGTGTTTACCTACCCATGTATATGCATATGCATATATATACTGGAAGCCATTACACAACACGATTATTCCTCTCTGCATTTGTGTCCTCTTCTGGGGGTATTACATATGCAAAACACTTAGAGGCTGCAAGCAACATAAGTACAATAGATGGGGATGCTCTTACTGGCAGGCGAGGTCGCACGGAGAGAAACAGATGAAATGGCAGAGGATTATTCTAAGTGGGTAATATGTAATCCATTGCATTTTCATAATGTACTCTAGTGTTTCCTCCATTGTTGGGCTACATATGCAGCATAAAATATTAATATTGGAAAATGGAAAATTTTGTCTGCCTTGCTGCCAGCAGTTTTGACCTGGTGAGCCTCTCACCTTTTCTTGCTCACTTGAAATTCGTTTCCTTTATATTGCCGGACTTCTGGATCCTTCCGTGTAATTCCCATCCATGCAGTGCATTCAGGGCAAACGAAAAAGTACTCAATCTGCCTCGCAAATTCCTTTTTGCTGCACCGAGACACTTTGCCGTGCTTGACCAGAGGATGGGAGACCATGGTGGTGCTTGATTTGCTGGGGCCTTAAATTCTTTGAGAGAGAAGTTCTAATCTTCCCAATGGATACTGCAACACGGTTTCGAGGTGTCACTGTGAAACCCTATTCCCAGCGCGAGCAGCATGTAGCGTGTTTGTGGATGGCGCTGACCTCTACCACCCTGTCACAACACGCAACCAGATCCCTGGCAGTTTTGTAGCTGTGGTCCTTTCAGGGTCGAATCACAGATCAAGGTAGATATGACTAGCTCTGAGATTTGGGGGGAAAAAAAGCTACTCAAAGCTCTTTTTTTTGTACCGCCTGCGTCCACCGAGAGCTGGAGTCCCGGCTGCAGAAGGTCTCGTTGGGCGTTGCTGATTATTTTCCGAGATCAGGTACCGCTGCTGGTTGCCGTAACCTCTGGCCATTCCTTATTTCCTTTGTTAGTGTGGAAATGGCATAGATGCGAGAACCATGGAGACCCAGTGATTTTCCATTGGAAACTGAGCAGATTTCCGGGCAGGGAGGCAGGTCTGGCTCTCCCCAGCTGGTCTTTGTCACGCCAGCATCACCGCATCACCGTCAGACCATTACAGCGTGCGCTCTGCCGATCCGGCCTGGAGATGTCGGCTCCGCTTTACATAACGAGGTGTGGGCCATCCAGCCAAGTCTTGGCTCCAGGTGTTGCCTGTCAGCGCATAATGGATATCGCCATGCCCCGTGACTGTAACACCCCCGGCCCATCGTTACAAATCACCTTGAGCTATCCGTAGCGCAATTAAACAGCCCATTTCGCCAAAATGTCTGGAAAGCAAATCAAAACAAATGAGGTCAATACAGGAGAGATTATCCCGACCGAAAAAAAACTAGCCGATTCCCTGAGGTAAAAAAAAAATAATTAGTAACTGCAGGTCTGTTCCCTTTTCATTCTTAAAAAATATTTCATCAGATCCAAATATTAGTCCTTCCAATAACTTTATGATTTATCTGTTTGTTTTTTGAGCAGCACTGAGGCTCAGTGCGTGACTCTGTTGTTCTGTACCTACTTCCTCACTCCGCTCTTCGATGTGTGCATGTGAAGCATGCAGGATTCTTGGGCTTCTCCCTGCAGTATGAAGATATTAACAGTTAGGCTAATTGTCGTCTGCTGATACTCTTTTGCTGGGTATGTGAGTGTGTGTACGTGCTCTGTGATGGACCGGCATCCCATCCAGGTATATCCCAGCCTGGTGTCCTACACTGCCTGGGATTCAGGCCATGTGACCCCAACCAGGATTAGGCTGGTAGTTGGAAGGTGGGTGGATGTTTCAGTCACAGAAGGGTAGACCTGCTGTACACTCATACCCTGGCTTTTCGTTATGTATGATATGAAGTGACTGTCAGCTGTGATCTCAGCTCCTGTGGGCTGTCTCTGTTAAGGAGTCTCCTCTCCTGGTGCTGCAGGCTTGGTGTGCAGCCCAGCCTTTCGCAAAAGGCTGCAGGTGGACCTCACCCCCCTGCTCTCCAGCTTGAAGCCTGGTGGTCAGGCTGCCAGCGCTGCCATCTTCGACCTTGCCGGCCCTCTCTAATTCAGAGCCAGGTGCTCCAGCTGCACCCAGACACTCCCCTAGGCTACTTTGCCTTGCTCACTGCCACGCTGCTGCTCAGGTAGTGAGCTGTGCAGGCAGCGCTCGGCTTCTCCCGGGGCAAGCATCCGGACCCGAAGGCTCGAGCCCTGGACTCGCATCACCTGAGCCCCAAGTGCCAAGCTGGAATTGTCATGAGAGCACAGCGTAGAAACTCTGAATTTGATTAGTCATGGCTGCCTTGCCTTCCCTCTAACATTCTCTTTGTAGACTGCTTATTTATGCCTCTGTTCACATACTCCTCAGAAGACTTTTTCCATTAGATAATGTCTCAGAAGAAATAAAAAAGGACTCCATACTTTTGTAGCCTATACACACACACACACACACACACACATATGCTTATTACTGACGAAGGTTGCATTACTGTCCATGTTGCAAAAAAACTAAAATAAAGCTAGACAGTTTGCTTATCCATTTAGCTATTAGCCATTTTCATTGGTATCATGCCCACCTTCATTGGATTTACAGCCATGGAGAAAATTATTTGTTTCACTCATTTCTCAATTTATGGGTGTGCGGCTGTGAATAATATATACTTTTTTTACAAACTGAAACCTGGTTCTTCCCTGTTTATCACTAATTAAGGACTTCTTCCTTGCTTTATGGGACTTCAGTCCTGCTTCTAGGTGCACTGCTTCTAGTGCACTTCACACCTGCACTTAGTGTTTGCCATTCGTTTTGAAAGTCATTTGATGTCATCCTCCAATTCATGAGAAACTGTTGCATAAGTTAATAGTCATCAGGAAATTGCTTCTGCCCTCTACCTGGCTGGTTTTTGGTCATTCCCAGTGTCTCCAGCTTCACCTTCTTCATGGTTACTGCTGTCTTAGAAATTTTGAACCTGAAAGCAACCTGCTGCTCAGCGTAGCCTTCTGCCAGCAGAACCAGGATTAAGCCAGGATTTAAAATGCAGATTTGTTAAAAAATATAGAGCGGCCTCTTAATTTTTTTGTGGCTGTATTAGTTTGTGGGAAATGAAGCTGGAAATGATGAGATGATTGTGTTTTTCGTTGGGTGTTTGGTTCGAAAGCTGGGCGGAATGATGGAGATGGTGCTGATGGTGCTGATGGGTGCTACCCCCCCTTTCAGATCGCCTGTGCTGTCTTTGCCGCCCTGCTGCACTTCTTCTTCTTGGCGGCCTTCACCTGGATGCTTCTGGAGGGCGTACAGCTCTACATCATGCTGGTGGAGGTGTTCGAGAGCGAGCACTCTCGCCGCAAGTACTTCTACCTGGTGGGCTATGGCGTGCCCGCCATCATCGTGGCTGCGTCCGCCGCCGTCGACTACCGGAGCTACGGCACGGACAGAGTGTGAGTAAACCGCGTCCCCTTGATTTTCTACGCTAGTCGACCTTAATGTGTCGCCACTCGTGTTCTGTTACCCAGTGAAATGTCTATGTAGGATACAGTCAGCTGGGTGTTAAATAGGAGAGAGTTACACGAGCAAAGTCTCTTGCATGGTTAAAATCACACATGTATTGTCTTATCTCAAGTACTGCTCTGCATGTCATGTCTCATGTAGGGTTCTTTCATGCTTCAGGGAGGCCATGGCATGTCCAGAAATCATTATAGGACCTTTTTTGTTTTCAGCGACAGTTTGATTGATTCCCTGGCTGCACTTTCAGATGGCCTACCTCTTTCCGTCTTCCGCGTTACTATGAGGATCATTAGCCAGTAGGATCACCCCTCAGAGGGGAATTTCCTGAGGGGGGGGGGGGCTGTTGGATAAATGAACCTTGGGCCCTGTACAGTCATTTGTAACACATACACACCATAAACTTGCTTATGTTGACTGTAGCTCATTAAATAGTCCATGGTCCACGAGATTAAAATGAAACGGGGGATGTATTTGTGAGGTGTCAAATACATAAATATAATGACATTCATCATGAAAAGATACATGCAAAGAAAGCAAAGATTAAAACCCATCATTGCAGCTTACCTGGAGCTCTGTCCATACATGTATGTTATGATAAGCCTGGCTGTGTAGGTTAAAGAAGACCTGCTTTAGGGGATTGACCCCAACCAACCAACCCTTTATAAGCTTCTGACTTTTGGTACAAGGTTACCAGGCTGAAAAAGAAAAAATGGAGTAGCCAAGATGTCCCTTGTTTCACAAATTTATGGTGCAGAACTTTAAGTATTCAAATTAACGATTGAACCGTGAGAATATATGAGACAGGATCACTGTATAAACACAGCTTTGTGTCTCAAGGAAAGACAGGGAAGTGGAAGAAAGATGGTGGATTTGCAGAACAGGGACTCCAGCTGTAAAGGCAGCCCTGCAAGCATAGTCGCTAATCCGCGCTGTCAGCCTGGAATATGGAGAAGCAGCTGTTTAGCTGTTTCCTGTGCCCCCCCCCCCCCCCCCCAAAAAAAAAACATACGTTATGTGGAGGCATGCGACTCCCAGCCGGGCTTCTCGTCTCGCACTGCGTCATTGTGGCACTGTTGTCATGTGCATTGCCAAAGGCAGTGGAATGGCCGTTGGGGAGGGGGAGGGGGGGGGGCGCAGTGAGCATCATGCCGAGGTGCAGATGCAACAATCCCCAAAACTGGATTGAATTTAAGCTACAGTAAAACCAGCATTAGGAATTATCCTCTCTGTTATCAGGACGACGATAGCTGCTGAGGAAGATTGCTTTTTATGTCTGATTTTAGATATATATTCCGGAAAGACAGTATTTGATTTCTTACATACATTTGACCTGGAATGATACTTTCTGGAAATATCAGTAGTCATCCATCCATCCATCCATCCATCATTTTTTAGCTGCTTATACAGTACAGGAGTGTAATGAGCCTGGAAGCACTCTCAGGAGGCACAGGGTACGAGGCTGGGGACACCCTGGACAGGTTGCCAATATATTGCTATTCAGTATGGCTTATATGGTCTCATGCAAGGATAGACTCAAAAATACCAAAATGGAGTCAAAAATACCAGATGGAAACTGATGAAAATCAAAAGGATACTTTGATTAACTTTTCATAATTTTATATATTATGATTAAAATTTAAGTTGACTGGCATATGTAAACATGTATGAAAGTAGAAGGAGATCCCAAATGGAAGCAGAAATACGTCGTCATGGATGTATCCTTTGATCTCACGCTGATGTTTGGGAACCCTGGCTTCATTTGGTAAATTATAAAATGGGACTTGCATGCAGCTGGAAAGATGGATGCTTGTTATATATTTTTTTTTGTTTACAGTGATTAACAGACCTTACTTGGGAACTCTGCCTCTCAGGAAAACAAAATGTAAATAACAGAATACCATTTTTGGACAGGGAAAGAGGGGGGGGGAAACATTGTCTATCCAAATTGAGGCCCCTGCTGACTTCACAAGAAGAAAGAAATGTGTGCACGCTTGACTTCCTGCCGACAGGCATGGCCTTAAATCGCGTAAATTCCCCCACCCACACCCCGCATCACCCCACCGAAACGACCTGCCAGTTCACCGTACGTTGCTGCCATTTAGCAGGTTGCTAACGCGTCAGATCAGCATCGGCCAGGAAAACAGCCACTTCCCATAATGGCGGATCGCTGTTTATGCCGCTTACCCTGCAGTAAATGAGGCTGCCGGGGACAGTGCGACAGGGCCCCGGGTGAGAGGCATGCCAAGAAGCAGGGACCTGGCGCGGGGGGGCAGCAAGCGGCTGACAGCCGTTTGCAATCCTTCCTCTTTTACTTCTTTTTTTTATACACTCATACGCATGTCGTATAAGGGAGCAGATTCCAGGATGCTTTCCAAGCGCACACACCGCTGGGAGCAGTGACTGATGACCTGTTTCGCGCTCCCCCTCTCACGTCCGCGCTCCCCCTCTCCCATCGGCGCGGCATCTCTGAAGTGCGTCGGGAAAATATTTGCTGATGTTCGTTAATTGGTCGTTATGCTCATTAGTATCGGTGTTTTTCTTAATCCAGTCCCCCCCCCCCCGCAGCCCGCATTTTTGTTCTGTTTCACCACCTACACGCCTGATTTTACTTGTCAGCTAATTAAAAGCTCGCTGATTACCTGGCTCAGACATGCAGGTGGTGGAGCAGCACAAAATTGTGGACTGGCTGCGGGGGGGGGGGGGGGTTCTTAACGGTGCCCCCTGATAAAAAAAAAAAAAAAAAAAAAAAAAAAAAAAAAAAAAAA